AGCACAATATTTATATTCCAATTGATTTATTTTATAATTATATCATAAAAATAAGAAAGGAAGCCATTTTTCAGTAATAGTGCGCTGTGACACTTTTGTATTTTTATGTCGGATCTTGTAAGCAAGTAGTTTTTAAGTGAGGTGAAACTTGGGGGTACGCAAGATAAATCAGACTCCTGAAAGGGGTACAGTAGTCTGGAAAGTTTGAGAGCCACTGGGTTAGAACAGCCCCCCAGCCCGGAGACGGCACAAAGCCAAGCAGAATATAAGGACACACAAATGAATCTTGGCCTCAGCAGATAATCCAGGCCATGATTTTTATCACAACAGTGTCCCTTTGAATATACAGGTTTACACTAGTTCCGAAACATCAGCCCTCAGCCTTCCAAGGTCATAGCTCAACCCCTCACACGGCTCGTCATTGGCATTTTTATAATGGCTCTTGCTAACAATTTAACCTGTGGCTTGCCTCCGCGCTGCCCATTTGAAGTCCTGCACCCTTAGTAGTTTCTGCCAGGCCCAGTGACATTGGTTGGGGAGAGCCCGGCTGTCTGACTGCAGACCTGCTCCTTGCTGGACCTGGCTAATAGAAATGGATTACATTCAAGCAGCTTAACAGCAGGCAGCAATTGTTTTAAACTGCCAAATAATAGACCCAAGTTTAAGAACAGGCCAGGCAGCTCCCCCCCAGCAATGACAGCGCCGGGCTGAAGCGTGCTGATTAGAAGGGGCTCTTCAGGACCGCAGCTGGATAGAGGAATGTCGCCTAGCAGCAAAGAGAGCAAAAGCGAGGGCAGACACCGCAAATCCAAAACCCCTTAAAATGCAAGTCACCCCCGAGAAAACCCTCCTTTCCAACAATGCAGGCTGGGCTGATGAAACTTGACACTCATCCCAGCAGGAATAATTTCTGAGCTGGGGTTCACAGGCCTACTAGACTGACAATCAGCAGAACAGTAAACAGCGCTTAGCACTGACATAGTGCTTTGTCTTCAAGCCATTTCCAAACATATCTCCGACCAGCCTGCCTAGATACCTAAAGATAACGGGCGCCTCTGCCTTTCGCTTACTCACGTTTATGGGGCCTGTCCAGATGCACCATTAGCCTCTTCCTATGTTTGGAACGGAAGCTGCCAGGGGCAGGGACCTTTATGCCGTATTATTTATATGAAGTACCACATATTCCTGCAGCACTATAGAAATACGAACAATACATTCCAGTCTGCCCTTGTTTAGAATGGCATTTCCCAGCTACAGACAAGAAGAAAACAGATCCTGTAGCACAGCAATGCCAACCTCTAAATGATGAGACAACCCGAAATCAGCAGCGATGCCCAGCCCGGCAGCCAAAGAGTGCCACGCAATCAAACAGCCAGCACACAAAAGAAAAACCCAGCTCCTGTTTGAAACCAGAACTTGATCGAGTTAAGCAATAGATGATGACGGCCAATGTCATTCCCATCTCTCCGGTTTCAGGTCTCTGTTTGTTCCCCCTGCTTGGAATTAAGGAGAGGATGGAGCCATTCTGTGAGCGTGTGTATATCCTTACTGTCAAGCCTACACCCATGCGTGGAGGTTACAATCCAAACCAAGCCAGGATTGCAGTCTTGGTTGTGTTCAGGTGGGTGTGTACCAGGGAGGGACGGAGTGCACATCTCAAAACAAAAATCTCCTCTAACAGTCTCTCCCCACCACACACAGCCTTCCACGTTTAATCACTGCCACGCCAAAGGGGACTGCAGCAGGCAGCAGCATCCCTAGCACAAAACCCAGCCTACCATAAGGACTGTGCCCTTTTCTTTCCCCGGCCCCAGGACAATGCTTTGCCATGCACAACCCTGTAGCAAGGAGATGCAATGCCAGACTTCAGCGCCCCACCCCCACCCCTGGCATTTTCCAACAGGGAACCGCACCAGCTTCATTCAATCCCCCCTCTCCTTTGTTGCTGGCTCAAGACTCACAGATTCCAAGGCCAGAAGGGACCATTGTGGTCATCTAGTCTGAGCCCCTGCATAACACGGGCCAGAGAACTGCCCCACAATAATTCCTAGAGCAGCGTGGGCTTGCATGATGAGCCCCCCAAATCCCCTTTGCTGCTGTGTTCTCAACCCAGGCCCTTCTTACCTTCTTCCTTAGCATCCAGCTTGCAGGGGGGCTGTGGAGGAGCCCTCCAGGCTGTTTGCAAGCCCCTCTTGGCCCCCCCAGCCCTAGCCGGAGGCTGCAGCCCTCTGGAATACAGCCTGCCACGCCCTCAGGCTAACGCTGGCTGCATCCAGGCGAGGGAGAGAAGCCGGAGCAGGAGGGAATTGACGACACCGATGCAGCCAGAGCTGGAGGATGCTGCCGCCAGACAAGCCCAGGGACCGTTCAGCGGAATCTCCCCCCTCTCCCTAGCAGGCCATGGGGAGGGGAGCAGGCTCGGCTCCCTAGCAAGGTGATGGCTATTGCTGGAGAGGCTCAGTCAATGTGTCTCTAACGCCGGGCTCTGCGAATCCCCCTTCCCCGCCTGCTTGGAACAAAAGGGGAAGGAGCAGGGGAGGGAGGGGCATTCCAGCTGTTTTGGTCAGAGCTGCACACAAACCTTAATCTTCCCGTTTCCCAGGCCTGAGCCCAGCAACAAAAGCGAGCGGGAGGCTGGAAAATGTAGACCCCCATACAATGCTTGCAGGCAGCTGGGGAGGAAATCTCCACAGGTCAGTTTCAGTGAGGGTTTTGTTTAAAGTGCCCTACGTGTTTTTAATGGAATGAGGGATAGAAGCCAAGATAATCAGAAGACCTGGGCAAGGAGTCTATTCCTAGCTCTGCTACTGATGCACGGAGGGGCCTTGGGCAAATCACTTCTCCGGTGCTTAGTGCCTCAGTTTCCCCATCTATCAAGAAAGACGAGGGCAATCCTTACAGGTGTGTTGCAAGGCTGAATGCATCAGTACCTAAGAGGCACTCTGAGATCCCCCAAGGCAAGGTGCTCTTTGTACAATTACCATGCAGGAGAGGCGCACTGTAAAAAATCCCCCATCGTAAGTGGGAGTCATTTTTAAAACTGCCTTGTAGGCCAAGCAGCTGTACTGAGCCACAGAAGCCTCAGTAGGCTCTGTGTTTTGTTTTAAAGGCTTTGCTCGGGGCTATGTTATGCCTCTTGAGTTTCAGGTTCAAACACCCCCCTTCTCCCCTAAAAAAAAGAATCAAACTGAAAGTCACAGTCTCCCCTGCAAAAATATAATAAGTAGTCCCAGACCCACTTGGAAGGCCACCTAACCTCACCTAGAGGTTCACAGCCCTCTGCCACAAATTCCCCCCAACTCTCCTGGCTTCACCCAGCTCTGATCTTAAAATACTTTTTCCTCCCTGCTCCTAAAAAGGGGTGGGATGGGGAGGAAACTTCCCCTCCCACTCAACAGAGATGCTTGGTCCTTCTAAGAGACCCATCATTCAAGGACCTTCACATAGCCCCCTTTCCTCATCATATCGGTTTTGCTCCAGTTAACTCAAGGGAGGGTTCTTCTAAACTACATTGAACTTGCTGGGTATTTTTTAACTTATGATGATGATTATTATTTATTTGTGTAAAGGAGGGGGAGGAAGCAGGAAATACCTTGTGGCTTGAAAAAGACAGCCTGACTCTGGAGAACTTAACTAGAGTGTTTCTAGGGAGCCCAGTGAAAAGGTACCACCTGCAGCTTGTGATTGGTAAGAGATGTGCCATTCGCTATGTTATCACCATGCTGATGCCCTCAGATCTGTAAGCAGGCACAGCTGAGCTGAATTGCTGCGTGGCTGGCCAAACCTGCAAGGCAGAGATAGGTGCTGCAGGAAATGGCACTTTGCCCTCCGAGTCCCTAGAAAGTAGTGCTTCTGCGGGTGTGGGGTATCTCTGTGCTGCCAGAGGTGAGCTCTTTTGGATGAGAAGTCAGCATTAGAGATCCCAAGGTGCTTCACTCCCACAGCATCTTTTCTCCAAGGATCTCAATGGGGTTTACCAACATAAGTGAATTAAGCCTGAAAAAAGCCCTGTGGGGCAGGCAACTATTCTCATGTCCCATTTTACAGGCAGGGAAATCAGCACAAAGAGGTGAAAAGACCTGCTCAAACTCAGCACCCAGGTCACCTGACTCCTAGGCCCTTCTTCTCTGATATGTTAAGTTGCGACATATCCCGCCCCCTCCCCCCACCCCCAAATAACTGTATTTCAATGGTGGGTGCAGCAAAGTAGGGGGCACTGTGGCCTGGTGGAGAGAGGCCTAGATTACAAACTGGAGTCCTTGGGTCTATTGCTGGCTCTGCCACTGGTCTGCTGGGTGACCTTAGGCAAGTCACATCACCTCTCTGTGCTTCAAGTATCAGAGGGGTAGCCGTGTTAGTCTGTATCCACAAAAACAACAAGGGGTCCGGTGGCACCTTAAAGACTAACAGATTTATTTGGGCATAAGCTTTCATGGGTAAAATACCCACTTCTTCAGCTTATGCCCAGATAAATCTGTTAGTCTTTAAGGTGCCACCGGACCCCTTGTTGTCTCTGTGCTTCAGTTTCCCCATCTATAAAACAGGGATCATAATACGTAACCTCACTTTGTAAAACATTTTGAGATCTACTGACAAAAAGTGCCTTATACAAGCTAGATAAGAGATTTTCAAAGCTACCTCAGGGATTCAGACGCACAAAGAGCTTTGAAAATGTCACCTCTCTTTTTAATGTGCTTTCGGATAAGATGGTCATTAGTTAGTATTATGAAGCTTAAATAAATCCCTGTGTAACCTCCCTGGATTCAAATTTTAGGTCAATTGCACAATTTTATGAAATATTTTAATATGATATTTCGGTCTTGGTACTAAAATTTCCATATATATAATTTCACTTACAGTCCTCTCTCCATTACAGCATATAAGGTCAGCAAATTTTGTGTTGTATTTTGTCTGAGAACAGTTTGTGGTCTGCACAGTGGTTGAATGTCATTTCCTCACTTCAGTTTCATTTTATTACAAGGTCCCAGGACTAATTTAATCTAAAAATGCTTTAAAGGTAGGGCTTGGAAAGATTAGATTTTTAGCAGTAAATGTTGATTTCATGATGCGCACACAAACTGAAGAAAAAATATTTTCCATCAAGAATAGTCAAAATTTGCAGACAGGCAAAGTACGAAAACTGCAGCTTGAGAACTCTTAGAGTTTGATTAGTTTGATTTTAAGGCCATTGACTTTATGTATTTTGATAAGTGATGTTGACAATTTGTGTTTTTAATGGTTTTGAAGCTTTAACTTTTTGAATCTCAGCGTCTACTGTCATTAAATAATTATTGTCTGACCACTGCCCCCCATAATTTCCCACAACTCTGAACATTTAAGTAGATAAAAATAGGAAAAAATGCTTAAAAATGAACTGAATTCTGCTAAGCCTGTTTTAAAGGCAAGTACATCAGGAGCTGGTATGTTCCTGAATGTCTTTGCATGTCACGAGCAGACGACTTGAGTTACAAGAGCACTTTGCTTTCTCCTGCAAAACTTCCAGTACTCCTGAGAGCTCCTCTCGTAAACAGCCATCTATCAAAGTGACTCTTATTTGCATTTCACCAGTGTAGCTTCAATCAGGATGAGAGGCCAATTGTGTTAGGTACTGTCCACACTTATAGGAGGACACAGTCCCTGCTTGAAGGAATTTACAATTTAGAGCCCTGATCCTACAATTGGGATCCGCTACTCGGAATCCCTGAAAACCTGTGGGGTCCCAGTGGGCTAGATTCTCCTCTCCCTCACACTACTCTATATTAGTGTAAAATTGGTGTAAGTGAGAGGAGAATCAGGCCCATTGACTTCAACACAGAGCTGCTCAAAAAACTTTCCACTACACTTTTTCCATTGAAAATGCCATTTTGTCAAAACCAAGAGGTTTTGCAGAAATGTATCTGTTTTGATTACATTTCTCAGGTCCAGGATGGAAATTCTGCTGACAGAATGGAAATCCCCCCCCATGCAGATTTACCAATAGCACAGTTGTTAGGTAAGCTGGGAGACCTTGGTTCAAGTCCCTACTCTGCTTGATCTGTAGGCAGGACTTACACCTGCATCTCCTACATTACAGGTGAGCACCCTAACCAGCAGGCTACGGAGCCAGTCTCTCGGGCATGCTTTTTCACAAAACATTTTGGAAGGTCTCAGTTTTGTTGCATAGTGGAACAAAAACAAATTTTGAAACCTCAGACTTTTTTTTCTTTTCATTTTTTTTTTTGCAAAACAGAGTTGTTGTTTTCTGGACAGCCCTATTCAATGGGGCTCTGCACAGGTACAGGAGCCTGCACTAGCAGACCCCAAATCAGAATCAGAGCACCCCTGTCCTGCAAATAGTTACGCATTTGCTTAACTTTACACAGGTGAGTAGTGCCAGTAGCGTCAACGAGGCTATTATATGCATAAATGTTGGCAGGACTAGGGCCTCTGACTAACGAACATTTCTAGCCTATTGTATTTGCCTTAACCGTCCTCCTAGCATAGACCTGCCTTGAGTTTTAAATGATGGGATGTACATTTTGTTTTGAAACATGGCTTTTTATAGGTAGTCAAAACTCTCTCTGCTTGACTGATACATTATTTTGATTCAGTGACTGGATTTGCATTAGCTTTTGGGATCACTGCAAATCTTCAGGGTTGGGGTTTTTTTTAATGGTTCTGACAGATTGAAATGTTACACAGACAAAGTAACATAGAAACCAAGGGAATATTCAGTGCGCGCACACACACAGTGAAAAGAAAAGAGGAGACGCATGACATCTATATTGCTATAGCTATGAAGGGGGGGAGCAGAGATGAAATGGACGCAAACTCTTACCTATTTTTTTTCTTTTGTTCAGCACATCCTCAATCAAACCACCAGGAGGGCTGACGAGATGTCTTGAAACACAATGAATCTGTCATTACTTCAGAGGATTACTCTTTCTAAGGCCCTGATGGTGCAAGATGTTCTTAGGGGGAGGGGAGGATCTGTCACTTCACATGGGGACCTGTGAATAACTTCTTGCTGGACCAGGTCCAACATTTGCTAATTCATTCAAATCTCCTCAATATGTATTGTTGTTTTTACATCACCCAAAGCAGGGCTAGGTGCAGCACATAAACTGCATAGGATCCCAGCCTCAGAGCTCACAATCCATGTCCCCCATCCAGCAATTGGATTTGAGTGAGCAGACCCCTGTGCCCATGCAGAGCCCCACTGACTGCAGTAGGACCATGTGCAGGGTCCATCCACATGAATCCAATTGAAGGATTGGGGCTTAACTGGGGAGAATACAAAGGAAGGGGGAAGGGATGCGACCCAAGACTCTTCAAAATCCGTTCTAATCATCTTGTCTCTGGGGCTTTTTCAGCTCTTTCCATTTTGTTGATTTTTATTTTCTATTTTTGCATTTGTTTGATTATAACATTTTCCTTTTTCCTTTTTGTTTTTTAATCCTTTGCTATTTTTCTTATTTCCACCCTAACCCTATTGGACTTAGG